ACTCGATGGCCATGGGACGTTGTCCACCTGCGCGAGACTTTCAATCCTCAGGCTATCATCTTCCCATTTGTGCCGAACTACGGGTGGTGCGGTTGTTCGAACCCGTGCCGAGTTGATTCGTGCCCTAACTCACTCGTCAACCTGTATTGCAACGTGAATAATTGCTCGTACGAAGGGCGATGCGGAAACACGTTGGCTGAGTCGAGCAAGGTGTTCTTGGGGAAGAACACGCGGACGAAGGTATTGGGCGTCGTGGCGGGTGAGGATATCGGGCCGGGGGAGGTGGTGGGGCAGTATTTGGATGAGCTCGAGCACATCAATGTGCCACGTTCTCAGCGCCCGTGCAACGAAGGATACCGGCTTGAGCTGAACCAGCGTCCCGCACGTCCAAGCCACCCCGCCCGCGTGGTCATCAACGCGCAAAAGATGGGGGGCCTAATGCAGTTTTGCAACCATTCATGTCGTCCCAATGCCAAGTTTGTGGAAGTCTCAAACGGACGTCGCACCACTGTTGTGGTGGCCACCACTCATGTGATTCGCCGCGGGGAGGAGGTGACGGTCGATTACAGCGACGATCTCTGGTTTATCTGCCGGTGCGGCTTCGAGGGGTGCCGCCACCGGGACATACAGGATGAGGACGACCCGTGAAAAGCTGGCGGCAAAGTGGAGGCCATAGTTAAAGAGCAGATATCTTTAAAGTCAATCTGAATATCTTTCGTTTAACTTCGTTTTTCATAGTTGTGCCAAGGGAGATTCGAACGTGAGCCTAGATAGCCGATGTGAAGTTGCTTGGGATTCAGCGTTTGCGCCATCTCTGGCTTCTGCTGTAGCGTTCAAGCTACTCGTTACTGGTTTCGCGCGCAGATTTCCCGCGCGAACCGCGTTGAAGATGAAGTTATGGCTTTTAAAGATCCAAGGCAAAACATTGGTGGCTCTAGCGGCTTCTTCTGTAGGTTCGAACTGCGCCGACCAGGAGCTTGCGTCTCTCACTCGTCAATTCGCCTCCTGCCAAGCACCTCCTCACTCCGAAGAATCCCTCAACACCTCCACCTTCGATCAGTAGGCAGCCGCTCGGCCTCTCGTCTTTGAAACCGCACCTCGACTAACATGTTCTTGTTGTGCCATACAGATATGGTCAGGAACGCAGGAACCACCAACTATTCCATGGCCGACATCGATCGCATGCTGAGTCTCGTTGCGAAGGTTCTGCCGTTGGGGAAGGATGAATGGGAGCGCCTCGCGGTCTCATTCAACGCGAACCGACCGCGTGGAGCACCTGAACGCGACTTCGAAAGCCTTCGTCGGAAGTTTAAAGTGCTATACGGCACACGCAAACCGACGGGGGTGGCCAGCATGCCGCCACACATCGAGAACGCAAAGGAGGCCAAGCAGGCAATTGACGACAAGGCCAGCGTCATCGAGCTTGACGACAAAGCGGACGTGGATCAACGCACCGTGGAGCCCTACTTCAGCTTCGACGTTGAACCTGACCAGACTTTCTACGAAGAAGATGATCCGTCCTTCCTGCGCGCCGCACATGCTGGGTCCGTGAGGAGTGAGTCGATCGCTACCGACACCGCCACGGACGAGTCTGTTACTTTGGGGTCCTTGGAAACGAGCGGAGGCGAGTTTCAGGACTTGCTGTCATCGCCTTTCGTTGCTGATGGTCTCGACGGAGCTGCCAATACACCCCGTCCTACACTGCCAACGCGTCCCCCTGGCTCCGCTGGTCTACAGCCGCCGCGAAAAACTCGGTCCAATGTCGACATCACCGCGCAGCCACGGACGAGTCAGGGACGTGACACCCGAACGCGGGACGAGATCGAAGCTGCAAAATACCCGGAGATTAGCAGTCGCTCGAGCCGCCTTGGCGGAGGAGATTTGGCCGTGTTTCGCGACTTGACGGGCGCCAAGCGTGCTCATGCGGACGACGACGACACTCACGAAGCCAGCTTTGCCAAAACAAAACGGCTTCGTACTATGAAGGCGACCTCGGCATTAAGGAAGAAGCTGGACGGTCTCGAGAATGCTGCCAACAACAACCTTGGAAGCATCATGGAAACGATCCTGCTGTTGCGCGAAGAGAAGGAGCGCAAGGCCGAAGCCCGACGCGAGGAGGAGGACCGACGTCGCCGCGATGAACTGGTAGCCATGGATGCGCGCCGTCAAGCTGAGAAAGTGGAGGCTTAGGAGCGTTGTCGTGCGGAGAAGCAAGACATGGAAGAGCGTGCACGTCGAGATCGTGAGGAAGCGCGTGCTCGCACTCAAGAGCTGCTCCTATTGATCGGAGCTCTTACGAAGAAGGCGTAGGATGCCGACGATGTGCCTGACAAGCTCAACGACAGCGAGGTTCTATATCTGATTTCAGTAGTGTTGTTCAACTTGTTAAACCTCGAAAAATGCACCAATTAACCAGCAACTAGTAAGCCTTCGTAACCTTCAGTATCCCCCAGGAAAGTCGTTCCGATCTGTGAGATACCAACGGTTCGTACCCGATAGCTCACCATCTGGAACAAGCTGTTGAGCCTAACTCCGCGAAGCTCTGGGTCGTACGGCAAGGGGAGATTCAGGCGGTGATACACCTTCTGAATGCTCTCCATGCCCCACTCAGCAGCTTGCCTCCCCGACGTTATGGCGTTGTGAATCGTGCGGGCGGAGCTCCGAAGTGATGGCAGTATCCGTTCCAAATCCCCGTCTTTCAACGGGGTCAAGTGCGGCCAGCCATGGATGATGAACAAGGAAACGCGGAGTCTGACACCACATTCATACGGGGGTCAGGGCAGTGGGCCACATCCAGCAGCTTGTTGCGAAACCCGAGTGAAGTGTCAGAGTCATTCCAGGACCCGGGGCAATTATGCTTACACCAGACGATGCAACCGTCGGCTGCAAAGCATATTACCCCGGTGATGAATATCTGCAAGATGAGCACCATCTTACCCGAATACGTTTTGTCTATATTCTCATTTGAGCGCATAGCTCCCAAAATGGCACCAATCGGAGGCGCGCGTGGTAGCAAATGCAATATATACTGTAGAGAAGACGGGTCAGTATCAATGATAATCCAAAATTGGCATAGATAGGTGAGGAATCAGTGTAGCTGAATTATAAACGGCTACTCAAACATATTACCATTTGCACGTCATTCGCACGTCATTGCCGTGAGGCAGGCGACACCACGTCATTGGTTGTGACGGTCTATTAGAGCAAGATTTGGTCAACTTCCGGCGCGAAGTATCTTCTAGGGCAGGTAGGTTTTGTCCATGGTCACCACAAACACCAATATTATGTCTTGCAGCTGTTTCGCGGAGCTGTTTATGATATTCAAAGGGTCTATCCACTATCTTCCGCATGTAGTGCTCTTACTTGTATAGTTGATGCACTTACTGACTTATTTGCATAGCTAATGACTGACAGAGTGGCGTAGATCCTTTCGAGGGACATTTACGGGTTGGGATATGTATGACGAACATACGAAGCCACATGGATGTAGGTAGATTATTAAATCGTATTGGTGTTTAGACGTGAATCTAATAGTAGTTCATGTACATTAGGTGACGTGCTTTCGCTGCCAGCTTATCAGCTCGGCGTGCTATTTGATGTATCCGTGCATATCCCGCAATGTCTCCAATGGCTGTGTGTCACGTGGCCTTGATAACCAGCAATGGTTCATTGCTGCGTTCTCGGTACTTTTGCACTTTGGTGCTAGCTTACTGCGCCTACGCTTCTGATGGATCAGTCTATATGGCCAAGCCCGCCACTAACTGGACATAGGTCATAACCGCGGTGATACAGGCAAGCTGACCGCGCGTCCGTAGGTAGTAGGCAACGCGAAATATGCGCGTGGCGGGTACACCTTATAGTCATTCGCGGCTCAACCGAACTTTCGCCTTGACCATTATGACAGGGCACTAAAGTACAGTACTACGTACAGGCACATCGACTTGCGACGGCCACCTGTATGGTTAATACTACCACAGACGTGCTTGTGTCTATGTAGACAGCAACTTATAAGTTGCGCGTAGTGCTCACTCAATACCGAAGTTTACATTTGTGAGCGCACATCAGTGGAATATACGCAGTGAGCGTTGGTAGTACATATAGCATGGGTTCGCGTGTGCCAAGTGAGAGAGTGTACTTCCATCTACGGTAACGCGTATGCAGACAGGGACGGTCGACACACACCTCAACGGCCTCGACAGCTACAAAACAGACTTTTTTATAGTAACGAAGATCTAATATGACTAGTGATATTCCTGCACAATAGCTAGCCGTCTATAGTGTAAGAAAAACTGAATAAAGTTATATATTCTAAAAAAAAACAGATCCTATTATAGCATTTACGTCGAGAAGTAAAGTGCTAAATTTTGCTTCGAACACCAAGTTTCTATTATTTATACCATGATAAACCTTTACTGCCGAGTGAAACCTGTAAAGTTTGTACGAACTAGTAGGAAAATAAGACCTTCTCATTTGACCTACCATTGGTGTGTGCACATAATCTCAACTACTCGTAGCCGCTGAGAAATTGCGATTGTGATGTTTTGAAAGAGACAATCTTTTCGGAGATAGAAAATTATAATCTCGCTCAAATCGTATTACTTTCTTAAACAGATTTAAAAAATTCAGATGTCTTGAAGTTAAGTGTGGTAGCGTATTCTATCAGGATATGTTTGTTAAAATAGATCCTGTAAAATTTAAAAGCACTATCAGCCCAATTCTCTAGTAAAAGTTGTGAATTATTCTCCAGATCGAATAAGTATTAACCAACCAAACATTCAGTTTAAAGTTTTTAAAACTTTCAAATTTTCATAAGAAACAAGTTTATAACAGAACTGCATTGGCCCGTTTCAAGTCTTTATTTAGCCTTCTGAAAATGATGTTCTGAAAATGAAACCAGCGCGAGTAGCGGTAATTGAAACATGACTCGCACGGCACAGAGCAAAATCGCATATCGGAAAATGAGGTTTCACGCGAGCACGTTTTTTTTTAGTGGACAGTCCTTATGGCTTAGTCGCTCCATGAGAAGGAAAATTACGCGGCGGACCCCCGAAATCATGATGGTCCCGGTCGCCTTTGTCACCGAAGAAATCATCAAAACCTCTAAGGAAGCGGTTGTCGTCAATTATCGACGGTGCATTGCCGGGCGAGTTCGCCTTGCTTGGTGAGAGGAGACTGGGCCCGACGGCAAAGGCGCCTTCAGCGAAGGCGGCAGTGGAAGTAACTGCCATCAGGACACAGCTTAGACGCATGGTGCACGTTTGGGCTGGTCAAGGCGACTTGGTTGTGCTTGTGCTTCGTTAGAAAGTTTTGAAGTGTAGTGGAACACATCTGGTTGCATGCGGTTATAAATTAAAGAGACGGACTGCTATCGGATAAAACGTATTAGTGATGGGGACAAAACAAAAATCGACAAAGTATTAGTGATCGGGACTAATCATTGTTTTGCTTGATTACTACTGTATGGAGTGTTGAAAGGACCTAACCCGATCCTCTCATTAGGGGTTAAATACATATTTAAATGTCGATGCATCGTTTTGTAAAAAAATGGAGGTGTGGCTTCGATGAAGCGTTTCCCACATTGACCAACGTATTTAATTACTTTGTCATTCAGCTTTCCGGTTTATTGTTCATGTGTAATTTTCCACTTCTGACTATATATTATTTTAAGTTTTGACTTTGCAATCTAGAGCTTTTCAGAAAGACCTATAACTTTGACGAGAAAATGTGCTCACGATATCTTCTTTTTCAGTTTCTACTTTTCAACGTTTTTGTAATGACAGTTAAAGAGAACTTATAGGTTTACTTTCAGAATTAACAGGCTGGTTAGGCTCCAGAGGCTCCCAATTTATAAAGCCCGATCTAACCGCTCAAATGCTACTTGATTTTGCTCCGCCCCCTAAACTTGTAGCCTGTCGGTCTGTCCGTTGCATTCCCCGTCTTGCTGCTTTTACCTACTTTTTCGCATGGCTACAGGCGGCCTGTCTAATACCGTTTGTTCCCCTGCGCCTATCTTTCTGACTCGATCTAGCTATGCCAAAACTACAAAAATAGCCAAAAAGCGGACACAATTAACTCGCGCCCTGAATGGGCAATATTTGCCGACCTGCGACACTGACTGGATCTGTCGCACGATCATACCGCCCCTCGCCCTCGTTAGGTAAACATTTCTGCCGCACATGAAACACACCGATTGGATGTCGTATGTATTGCAAATCGGGCACAGTAATAACTTTATTTTCTAAGAGCTCGGCGATGTTATTTTCCACACACGATGTTATTTTCCACACACTTTTCGAAGTAGAGACGATAGTATTATTATTACAATACTATTAGTAGTATTGTTAAAGGAGGCTTCACGACCTTTGCGCTAGCTGCACCCGGACACTGCCCTGCATGCGCGCATGGTGCCTACGTGGTAGTGTTTAAAGTCAATGTTATCGCCTAAAACTACATTTTTTTTTAAATGAAAATAAGCAATCGGAAACTTTTGAATATAAATATCTTTGTTTGTTAATGAGTAGCAGCACTAAATGGTCGCATATTGGCTAATATGTTTACCTATTTTATTGGTAAAACAATATTATGTTTATCACATACTAATAATACGCAATTTTATATTTCGTTTAATAATATACACCCAGCACTAAATATCCGATAGAATACCTAATATTTTTACGCAGATAAGTATAGTTTGTTCCCTATTTAACATGGCGAGGCCTACGTGCAAGCCCAATATTGACCTGCTAATGCTGCATCCGCTGCGGTCTACGATGGACGCTGCGCCTGCTACGGGAAGCTGCAGTACGGTTACGCGTTCCGTACAATCAGCGGGCGGGACATCGTGCGGGGTTGTATTGCCTGCGAGAACGGCCCAAAAGCGGTTAAGTTCCTGGAGGAAAAGCCCCCACCGCCTGATTCGGCCGAAGTGTGCCGCAAGGAAAGCCTGGCAAACGTCAAGATGGGTCCTGACTGGTACCCCAAGAAGAAAAGGAGGCGCAGCCGCCCTCGCAAGCTGACCACCCGAAACGCCAAGTACACCGAACAAAAGAAGCAGCAGAAGAGCAAGTGACTTTGATTATACAATATTATATACCCCCATTACCCAACCGCTATTTGTATGGTATACTGACGGATTGGGTGAGGACTGGTACAGTACAAGAAGGAACCGGAGGAACGATTGTTCCCGATGAACGAAGAAGAGGTGCTGCTACGTGCCAAGCGGAACGCGGATGAACAAGGGAAGCCGACACTCGCGGAAAGCGAGCTTGGGATACTGGAGGACGTGTTGGAACGTACCCGGGAGGTCTCATCTAGAGATCTCGGAACGCCAGAGTATTGGCTGGACTGGTACGCTCACACGCTAGAGACGTCGACTGAAGCGAAGCGTGCCAATCGGGACTTCAAGGATGTCGGAGGAACGGAAGAGAAGTCGACGACGTTCGTTGGTTCCGTTACGACGGACGAGGACGAGCGTAAGCGTAGTACGGAGATGTCGGGGGACGCGCGGGAGAATGAGTTCGTGCAGAACGTTTGTGTTGGACTCGAAGAGGACGTCGTGCCAATCTCGGAACTCCCTGCGGAGGAAAAAGGAACGTTACCATTTCGATGGCGTTCCATAATTCGTAGCAGAGTGTACGAACTCCTCAAACAAGAGCAGATCGCCAAGAAGGACCGTCAATCCGACGTTCCTGAGAGCGAGAAAAACGGGGATGCTGATGACGACATCCCACCTTTGCTCGACAAAGAGGACGGAGCTCAATTTGACGAAGTCTCTTTCCGAGAATACCTCGTTGAAGTGGGTGGAACGCTGGCTGAGACGTTCCAAAATCGAACGTTGGTCTGGGCACGGGACTATTTCGGGACAGAAGCTTCCGTTATTCGCGACAAGTTGTGCGACAGACGGGACAAAACGTCAAAAATAGTGGCTGCGACCGTTGGGACAAGTTCCAGGAAGAGGGTGACTTTCGGTGCGACTATCAAGAACGGAGATCCCAAAGTAGGAGAAGAGGATCCCGAGGTTTATTTTCTAAACGTGAGAAGAGCTCCTAAGCCGCGGAGAAACCCTGGGCTGCGCGAGTGAGCGGCGATGACGTCTTCGACGACGGTGAAAGTGTCGTGCCGGATGGCAAGCGAGTCATCTGCAGCGTTGGGGGTGTGCAAGCGCTGTCGGACGGCTTTATCGATTGCTGCCCGTCCCCAATGCTGGCTGATACAGGTGCGGTCGCCAGTCTTGTCGACAAACGCGTGCTGAAGCGTCTCGGACGAGCCTCCGAACCTCTACGACCTTAGACTGGGGGCTTGGATAGTGTCTCGGGGCACAAGATTCGCGTTAGTGGGGTTATCGACTTGCCCGTCACGCTTGGAACGCTGGAGAAGACGCTTCCTTTCGTCGTGACTGTTCACTTGTTTGCGGATGCAACGTCGGAACGGACTCGCTAAGGGCGTTCCGCGCGGTGATTGACCTCGAGGAGCAGTCGATGAAACTGAAGGAGACGGGAGACGTGATCCCGTTGGGTGCGACAAGGGTCGAAGAAACCCACGCGGCTACGATATCGTCGACGGTGCGTTTGGAGCCCGGACGGCAGGCCTTAATGAGATTGAGCGTTCGCGGAACGATGAAGGACCACTCAGTTGTGCTAGTCCAGGGCGTTCCTCGAACGGACGAGTCTTTGAGAGTCGCGAGGACGTTGTGTACCGTGACGGATGGAACGGTGTTGGTCGAGGTGTGTAATGCTTCCGCGGAAGAGGTTAAGATCAAGTCTGGCGCGTACGTCGCTGCAGTAACCATCGTTCCCAAGTCGGCATTCGCAACTAGAGCCTCTAAGTCAGATGAAACAACGAAGAACGTAAACGCAGTGCTGAGTATGGTGAAAGGGAACGTGACGGCTGAAGTATGAACGATCGAGGCTGAGATGAGTGCCGCAATGGACGACAGCGAGGAAGACGACTTCGAAGTGGACTTCGAAGACTCGTCACTCGGAGCAGAACAGAGGGGTCTCTTCGCGAAGATGTTGAAGGACCTGAGAGACTTATTCGACGAAACTTCAAAGAAGCCTGAGAGGACGGACCTGCTACGATTCAGTATTGACATCGGAGATCACGCGCCGATTAAACAGTCTCCGTACAGAGTGTCGAAAGCTGAAGGAGATGTCATGGAAGCAAAACTTCAAGAGTACCTGGATCTCGGACCAATTAGACCATCGACAAGCCCGTGGGCCAGTCCTGTGCTGATGATACGGAAGCCTGATGGTGGCGTAAGATTCTGCATCGATTATCGGAAACTAAACGCAGTGACCGTGAAGGAGAGTTACCCAATGCCTTTGATCGACGACATCCTGGACGTTCTGGGGAACGCGAAGCTTTTCTCCACTATGGACATCGCTTCAAGATATTGGAACGTTCCAATGGATCTCGACAGCGTGGAGAAGACGGCTTTCACAAGCAAATTTGGCCTCTACCAGTGTTTGGGCATGCCGTTTGGTTTGTGTAACGCTGTGCCTGCATTTGAGCGTCTGATGGAGAACGTGCTCGTTGATCTCAAGTGGAGGACGTGTCTCGTCTACTTAGACGACTGTGTTGTCTTCAGAAACGACTTCCCGACACATTTGATTCGGGTACGACAGGTCCTGGAACGTTTCCGAGCGGCAGGGTTCAAGTTAAAGATGAAGAAGTGCCATTGGGGACGTGACCAAGTGGCGTTCCTAGGGCATACCGTGACTCCGACTGGAATACTACCGAACGCTGAGAAGGCGAAAGCGTGATGAACATCGAGAAGCCGCATGACTTGCACACAGTTAGAGCATTCCTGGGTCTGACAAGCTACTTTCGACGCTACATACCGGGATTCGCTGCGATCTCCGCGCCGCTGGAACGCTTGAAGCAGAAGGACGTCGATTTCAGATGGAGCGACGACTGCGAGGGCGCGTTCCGACAGCTACAACGAGTACTAGTGAAACCATCGATACTGGTGTATCCAGACTTCAAGAAGAGGTTTAAGCTCTATGTAGATTCGTCACACTTAGCGGTGGGAGCATGTCTGATGCAAGAGGTCGACAAGAGAGACAGGGCGATCGCGTACGCGAGTAAGATGCTGGTTGGATCACAGCGGAACTGGGCTAACAAGACAAGTGGAACGACATAAATTGAGTGCTGGGGAATCGTGTGGTCGGCACGCAAGCTCCGGTGTTATCTGAGTCACGCAGAATGTGATCTGTACACAGACCATCAAGCTCTCACGTGGATCTTCGGC